ATGAGTCTTGATATTTCTTTTTCATGGAGTCTCATATGTCTTTTGAAGTCTCCTTATTGAGTATGGTTTCTAAGATTATTCAATATATTGCCTGGAAGATGTAGTTTTTGGCTTTCAAGTCTTTCAGTTTTAAACTTTCCAATTCTGTCTTTTGGACGGCTGTTAACACTGTTGGGATTGATGGTTCAGCCCTCGTTCAGTTTTGGTTGAAGGTTCTGTAATACCTTCACTAACCATCAACCAATATTCTTTGGATCTCAAGAAATTCTCTATTAACGTACTTTAGTGACCATAATGACCATCAAATCGAGGAATGACAGGTTGTACTGTCACACCCCACCCTCCCTAAATTACCCATGCGAGGCACCCATATAATTAATGTTGAACATGACAGCGGGGCAGTGGCCAACACCTCCCAGTGTTTAAAATCCGGCAGCATGCCGGCCACTGTGACCCTCGTCATATCTGCTAGGGTAGCCTGACCTGTAAAACCTGTAACCTGTAGCATTTATGTGCAGAAATATACTACTAGGAAATAAAATAATCTCATATTCCTAAACACATATTTGCTTATGCAGCAGCCATAATATCACATGCACAAACTAAGCATACCCATATGAATATTAAACATTACTGAAGAGCCCCAATAATAACAAAATGGTAAACAACATCCCAAAATAAGATCTCTTTTTTCTTTGCCTTATGGTATGACTACAAAATTTACTACAACATTGTATTCTGTACTAATCAGCCCCAAAAATATCCTGCTGGCCCACCTCCACTAGTATGATGTGATACTAGGTGCGGATGCTCGGCAAATGATGATCAACTGCTATGATTAGTTTGATACTGCAAAAATAAAAATAGTATGGAACTAAAGTCCCAGTGAATAGCACATTGCCTAAACTTAGCGAAAACAGAGAGGATTTCATAATAACATATATATAAACATGGTTAAAGGCCTGAGTAATCATAAAATACATGAATAGAACATCACAGAAAGTCTGCTTTATTTTCTGAGTTCACCATAATATTCATAAAAACAAAAGAGCATAAAAGAGGCATAAACATCATAATCATGTACTACATAACATATAGCTCTGATTGGATGTGCACAACCGACAATATCTAAGGGCAGTAAAACATAAAAGCAAAGTCTGGCCATACTCAGGCAAAATATGTTGGGCGCTACTACACTGCGTAGCCTGCACCATGGGTCACCACTCCAAGTCAGACTAACACAGTTTGTGTGTCTGAGACCCTGCTGGGTCTAATGTCATAATCTAGACTTAGATCTACCACCTGCCCCAGATGGCTACCCAACATTCTCAGTCTGAGTGTCGAAGCACCAAAATATTACAAAATCATAAAATCCGCAATTATACTGGAATTCAGAACATAGACACTCTGTTTCCATGTTTTCATAATAAAATACATTCATGCTCTATAAAACAATTTATAACTATTGTAAAACATGCATTTTATATAAAAAGAAAAATCTAAGTTTAGAAGATATGCCGCTCACAGTGTAGATAAGCTCTATGGATGACTAGTGGGATCTGTCTGACCAGTATCAGGCTCGGCTTGGTCTCCTTCTCCTACAAATGGAGAAGATGCAAATATAAGTAAAGTAGACGTATGATGCAATGCATGCCAAAAGTTCTAGATGCTTTAAATTCTACTTAACTTTGGAATTGTGCTCTTGCTCATTCTTCATGTTTTTATTTCTTGAAAATCATCCTTAATCTCTTTCTTAGCTTAATTATACTTAGATTTTTAATTTCATGAAGAGCTCTTTACAAGTCATAATTCATTTCTTAAATATCTTATTTTGCTAGAAAAAAAAAATGCTAACACTCATCTAAGAGGTTAGAACTCAAAGTTATTGACCTCTTTGCCCTTATTTCTTTCTTAACTTATGTCCATGCTATAGTCCCTCTTTAACCCTTATTTCTACCCTCTATCTTATGCCCCATATGAGGCTCACCACTTCCCAAAGTTCTCTTCCAAAAAACAGAATTTTTGCTTGAAGAATTTTCTGCACTTATGGCAAGGTTTTCTTAATTGGGTAACCTTAGTTTTTATGCCAAATTTGGGTCTTTCTTAATGCTTTCTTACTAAATTGGATGGTTCATCTCTTAAACTACTTACTTAGCTTGGTTTAGGACAGAATTTGCCCTCTAAAATGGTTCAGCCAACATGAATAAATTGCAGAAATTTTCTGTCAGAAAATTTCCTGCACATTCCCTCTTGTTTACTAATTAAACTATGCATGATTTTGAGGTAAATTCTTAATTTCCTAAATTTTCCTTTTTAAGTTAGATTAACCACCATCTAAGCTAACCATTAAACCTGGTTTTAATCCCACTCCAGCCCCTAGAAATTTTGTGCAACCCATAGGACCTGCAGAAAATTTTCTGCTCTGCAGTTTTTTTTTCTGCTCTCCCTCATGACTTCACCACTTGAATTTTGTATAATTTGAGCTTAATTTGTGTCTTCTTTCAATTCCTTTCCTAAGTTAGGTTGATCATCATCTAAACTACACTTTAAACTAAATTTTTAACTCACTCTAACCCCCCTGAAAATTCAGCACAACCAGCTTCTCTGCAGAAAATTTTCTGCTCAACCTCCTCCTCTCCAATTCCAGTTTCCAGCTTTGTTTTCTTCACCTTTCTTGTTTCATCTTCTCCTTCCTCCACCCCAACACAATATCCTCTGTTCTCCCCTGTTTTCTAGCATCAAACACAGCAACTAAGAATCAAAACTTCCCACAGAATTTCAGAAAATTTTCCAGCACAACAGGTTTTCTACCAAGTCTCCCTAAAAGTAACAAAATCATTCAACTCTTTCACCTCACGGATTTCAGCTTTCAGCAGGATTTCAGCAACCCAGTAACAGTTTAAAATAGGGTTTTAAGCAAATTAAATGAGATTAAATTGTAACCCAATTCAAGATATACAAAAATCTCACACAATTTTAAGAAATTTACAAAATTTTCTTGATTTTCTTACCTTTCTCCTCTTCTTCTCCTTCCTTCTCTCTTTCTCTCCTCTCTTCTCTCCCTTGCTCGAGCTAGCTAGATGTGTGTAGAAGAAATGCATATAAGTGATGTATATACACGCCACCTCCATGTTGACAAGTCAAACAAAATATCTTCTCATTAAAAATTTACATAATTCCTTCCATGTCCCCTAATTTACTACTTCCCCTTCACTTTCCTCTTATTCCACTATGTATATCATCTAACTTATCACCTAAAACATAATTAAACTACTAATTTAAGTGCTCTAATCTCCTTAACCCAAGATTCTAATTTAGGTGTTCAATTTTTAAAGCTTTCCTCCAAGTTACATCAAAATTTCATTATGCATTTCTATTTTTATTTTACTATCATATCATATGAATTTTTTTTTTAAAACCTCTTAATTATTCTTTTCTCTATTTTAAATTCATAATTAGGATTTTATATATAAATCTCCACTTAATCCTAAGAACACTAGCATTTATATAATGCATGCAAATATATAAGGTGATGCATGAATATGTAATGCATGGGTGCAAGTTATACATGCCCACTTGGATTGGAATGTGACAATTCTACCCCCCTTAAAAGAATTTTGTCCTCGAAATTCAGTACCTGAGTGAAATAAATAAACATACTTTGCCTTCATTTCATCTTCTCGCTCCCAAGTGATTTCTTCCTTATCTTGATTCCTCCATAACACTTTCATCAATGACACTTGTTTTGACCTTAACTGCTTAATATCTCTTCCAAGAATTTGCACTGGTTCCTTTACAAAAGATAGGTCTTCCTTTAACTCTACTGGTGGGGTAGGAAGGATGTGTGTAGGATCTGCTATATACCTCCTTAACATAGATATGTGAAACACATTATGAATCTGGGATAACTCAGGTGGCAAGGCAAGTCTATAGGCAACTGGTCCTACTCACTCCATAATCTCATAAGGACCGATATATCTAGGGGTTAGCTTGCCTTTCTTACCAAATCTCAACACTCCTTTCCAAGGAGATACTTTAAGAAAAACTTTATCACCAACCTCAAAATATATGTCCCTGTGCTTCGGATCTGAGTAACTCTTTTGTCTGTCCTAGGCTGCTTTCAATCTATCTCTGATAACTTTGATCTGTTCTACTGTATTTTGTACAATCTCTGGCCCTAATAGCTTCCTTTCACCTTCCTCATCCCAGCAGATCGGTGTCCTACATTTCCTCCCATATAAAGCTTCATATGGTGCCATACCGATACTAGAGTGGTAACTATTGTTGTATGCAAATTCCGCTAAGGGTAAACGGTCATCCCAACTACTTGAGAACTCTAGCACACACCCACGTAACATATCTTCCAATGTCTGAATAGTCCTCTCTGATTGCCCATCAGTTTGTGGGTGGAAAGCTGTACTAAAAATGTAATTTGGTGCCCATGGCTTTATTTTAGTCTTTATTTTAGTGATATCATCTTTATTTTAGTCATTCACGAATTGCAATTAGAAGACTTGATTTTGTACTCATTATGTGGTGTTTAATCTGATTTTTGATTTGCAGGAGAGCTCTTTGAACAACTGAATCTTGAATTGGAAAGTCAATTGAATGTAGAACGAAGTAAGCATATTTACTTTTCATTCCTTCTTCCCATTGACCCTTTTTTTGGTAATTTTTCCCTCATTGGTTCTAAAGGTAATTGGAACTGAACAGTTAGTTCTTATATTTTACATTCATGTTTCTTAAAGGGAAAGCTAATTGAGTTATTATTCAATTTGGAAGTATTTTGTATTCTTTTCAACTCATTATTGACCTTTGGTTCTGAGCTATGATGATAGGTTCATATCTTCTCGCAATTCAACAGAAGTCAAATTGAAACCTTTTCTCTTTCTTTCATAGCCATCAAGAAGAAATTAAATTTAGAATTCATTATTTTTCTTCTCTTCCAAAAAATATTAGACACTTTATTTTGACTTACATGTTTGGCCATGTTCACAGTGCGGCATTATGAAGTGGTTTATTTGATTCACGAGGACCATGCAAAAGAGGTTGAGAGTGTGAATTTGAAAGTTCAAGGTGACTTTTACCTTCATCTCTCCATAGTGGATTCATTTTTATTAGATGAAATATCACATGTCCAGATGATAGTTATCATTTTTTCTTCAAAACAAACCAACCTTTGCATGGTGTAAAATAATTCTCATTTGATTACAATATAAGCATGGTAAGTGGCTTGCCAATGAACACAAGACAAAGGGCAGTGGCATAATTTTGGAACATTAAGGTCTGGTTGGCAATGATGTTTTAGGATATGTTGTCACACTTTATGTTGCTTATAATTATCGTTCCTTATTCATATATTATATGATATCTTCAATGAAAAATGCTAATTTTCAATGAGAGGAAACTTTGGAAATAGATCGACTTTGTTTTTTATGGCTACAAATTGTATTTTTGCAGATTTTATTAGGGCAAAGAAAGGCAGAATTTGGAGATTCAGTGATTGGGGTCTTCGAAGACTAGCATACAAGATAAAGAAAGCAAAAAATGCCCACTACATTCTGATGAACTTTGAGGTGGGAGCTAATTGGATTAATGAATTTAAGAACTTGCTGGACAAAGATGAGAGAGTCATTCGGCATCTGGTGATAAAGAAGGACAAGGCAGAAACAGAGGAATGCCCTCCGCCTCCGGAGTTCCACACACTGCGTGCTGGTATGGATATGAGGATTATGATGAATATGAAGTAGAAGATGTGTATGAAGATGAAGCAGGTGAGGAGGTTTGGGATGATCAATACGAAGGAGATATGATTGGGAATGGTATTGACATGGAAGATGCTATGGATGTGGAAAACTATGTTGATGAGTATAGGGAAAGTAGAAATAGTAATAAACCAAGCAATGTTGGTAAGACGGGGAGAATGAAACTGAGACCTAAAAAAGTAGGCAGATAGTTTCTTTTCGTATGTGTATTTTCTTTGAACTTTGTTGTCTAAATTCAGGACAGATGAAATGTGCTCTCTCTATATATTTTTAGTCAATCTGAGTAGTGTCGACTTTTGCCCAATTCAAGAAGCCACTTTCTTTCTTACAGTTGAGTTAGATCAGCATCTTGTTTACAATAAGTGGAAGAAGAAAGGAAAGAAACGGTTGGCGAAAACTTGTACCATTTAGTTCTCAGCATTTAGAAGGTAAAACTTCTACAAACCTGATAAATGGTGGCGTGTAGGCTTGGATAATGGCCTGCAAAATGTTTTGTATTGAATATTCGACAAATATTTATGAAGTTCCCATGAACCGTTTTATTTATGAAGTTCGTATATCAGCTTTTGCTGCGACCCCTGCTTCTTCTTTTTCTTCCATTATCTTTCTCTAGAAATATGATCACAGACCAAAATACCAGTTGGAAGTAGAATGCCATCAAATTGTGACAAAAATTCTCACACTATCTTCTGTTTCTGCTGTGATTTTTGCTTGAATGAAAGATAAACCACCGTAAAACTACAAAATGATTTACTCACATCTGACGCGATTGTACTAGTTTCTCTCTCTCTTTCTCTCTCAAAATATCTCCTTATCAATGGAAGTATTAAGATGTAAAGCCAAGCTATGTTCCAAGTTTGGTAAAATGCATGTAATAATGTATATTTGTTTCTGGATTAAATATGAATTATGCCGCATGAATATATGAGATTCTAAGATTGCGTTATAGGTAGGAGTCTGCTGGAAGAAATATATAGAAGATGGTTTATTTTCATGTCTCCAAAGGTCCTTGACAAATTACATGATTAAGTTGAAATCTAGGAAACTCTAGGAAAATTATAAGCAGAGAATCATTTTACTTATCTGTTCTTCTCATCGCAAGCATCTGAATTTTTGTAACTGCATTAATGGCCAAAAGGTAGGTCGAGTGGCTGGAGATGGAGGTGCAATCCTAGTTGGAAATGCTCAACAATATCCCAATGTTTTGCTGCATCCACGAGCCTACGGGGCCAGTCCTTATTTTTCCCGGTGTGCATGCAAGCTCTTCTGTGGGGTCCAGCCCCATTTACTTTCTATCTTCTTTTGTTTGTTTAAAGAGAGGTTGTGGCATACAAGTCCAATTCCATTGGCGGGAGATTGCGGCACGCAAGCTGTATTTTGCACAATGCTTCAACTGATTTAAAAAGGAGAAAGAGAGGCAAAACAGGTTTTGATACCGCGTACGAAAGGGGGGTGTGAGGCCTATAAATAGGCCTTTCCCCAAATTCCGCAATCCATCTCCCAAGGCAGCCGAAAGCCACTGAGAAAAATAGTATAGAGAGAGAAAGTTAGCGAGTTTTTGTTTTTTCTCCTATTTTAGAGAGATTAGTATTATTTATCTCCTTAAATAGAGAGAAGTAATTTCTAATTTTCCTCGTAGTGAAATTCTTCTATCCCTGGTCGTGGTTTTTATCCTAAATTTATTTAGGAGTTTTCCTCGTAAATTTTTGTGCCCTTGTTTTATTATTTTATCTCATTTATTAGCCGTGATTTTACTTTATCAGACTCGTCAATTACCCAACAAGTGGTCTCAGAGCTTAACTAGGGTATGGATATCTACTTATTGTATGCTCTGCGGTTACCACTAAATAGCGGATCCTCTACATCAAAAAATAAGATAGATTATTATTTACCCTTGGAAGGCACTAGTACTATTTACGTATACAGTTACTATTCATGTATACGGTTACTATTCACGTGTACAGTCATTATTCAAGTGAAATAGTAGGAGTCTTGATAAAAGTAATTGCAGAAAAATTTGAAATAGAAAAGTTCAACGGGAGCAATTTCTCAATGTGAAAATTAAAGATAAAGGTTATCTTGACAAAAGATAATTGCCAAGAGGTTATAAACAAAAGGCCAGAGAATATCACATATGAGAAGTGGAAGGAGATGGAAAAGAATGTTGTTGCAAATCTTTATCTTGCATTAGCCGATGAAATATTGACAAGCATAGAAGAGAAGAAGACAGCAAAGGAGATTTGGGATCATCTCACCAAACTGTATGAGGCCAAATCACTCCACAACAAAATTTTCTTAAGAGGAAACACTATACCCTGCGAATGACAGAATCTACTTCGGTGACAGAGCACATAAATTCTTTAAATACTCTGTTTTCTCAACTCACAGCGTTGGGATATAAAATAGAGTCACAAGAGCGTGCTGAGCTTCTACTTCAAAGTCTACCTAATTCGTATGATCAACTTATCATCAATCTGTCAAACAAGAAATCTACGGAGCTCGTAGTCTTTGATGATGTTACTGCTGCTGCATTAGAAGAAGAAAATTGGCACAAAAACAAGGAAGACAAGCAGATGAGCTCGCAATAGGCAGAGGCCTTAACGGTGACAAGAAGAAGATTAACGAAACATGGCCAAAGTGGGAGTCACAATCATGGTAGATCCAAATCTAGAAATAAGAAGAATTTCAAATGCTACAATTATAGCAAGAAATGTCACTTGAAGAAGGATTGTTAGAATTTAAAGAAAAATTCCAATTCTCAAGGAAATGCTATAACCATTTCACATGATGGAGATGCTCTATGTTATGAAGCAGCAACGGCGACGGAAAGTAGAAAAAGATTTGCAGATATATGGCTTCTCAACTTGGGAGCTACATTTCACATGACCTTTCGAAGAGAATGGTTCCATCACTATGAACCTATCTCTAGAGAATCTGTTTTGAGTTGCAATGATCATACTTTAAAGATTGTTGGTATTAGAACCATCAAGCTGAGGATGAGTGATGGAACAATACGCACTATTCAAGAAGTGCGGCATGTAGAAGGCCTAAAGAAAAATTTATTGTCTTTAGGACAGCTGGATGATCTTGGTTACAAGGTTGAAATTGCAAACAAGATTATGAAAATAATTCGAGGTGTGCTGGTAATAATGAAGGGAAAGAAGATAGTTGCAAATTTGTACATGCTAAAAGGAGAGACGTTGCAGGAAGCAAAAGCATCAGTTGCTTCGAGCAGTTCAGATGAAAGGATTGCAATGATATGGCATCAAAAACTTGGCCATATTTCTGAGCAAGGAATCAAAATTCTTGCCAAAAAAAAGTTACTTCTTGGTCTCACAAAGGTATTTCTTCCTTTTTGTGAGCATTATGTCGTGAGCAAGCAACATCGGTTAAAATTCAACACATTAAATTCTAGAAGTAAAGTTACTCTAGAATTGGTGCACTCTGATGTATGGCAAGCACCAATTGCATCTCTCGGAGGAGCAAAGTATTTTGTATCTTTCATTGATGATTATTCCAGAAGATGTTGAGTGTATCTTATCAAGAGGAAGGTAGATGTGTTTCCAGCCTTCAAAGTTTTCAAAGCACGAGCTGAACTTGATTTTGAAAATAAGATTAAGTGTTTGAGGACAGACAATGGAGGCAAATACACTGGTCACAAGTTTGACAAGTTTTGCAAGTAAGAAGGTATTAAAAGGCAGTTCACCACGACCTACACTCTTCAAAAAAATGGAGTGGCAGAGCAAATGAATAGGACCTTGTTGGAAAGAATGAGAGCCATGTTAAGAATTGCAGGCCTAGAAAAGGCTTTCTGGGCAGAAGCAGTCAAGATCGCTTGCTATATAATAAATCAGGTACTATCAATTGCAATTGAGTTGAAAACACCAATGGAGATGTGGACTGGGAAGCTAGTCGATTATTCAAACCTCCATATATTTGGAAATCTTGTATACGTAATGTACTCTACTCAAGAAACTACAAAACTAGATCCAAAATCTAAGAAATGCATACTCTTGGGATATGCTGATAGAGTGAAGGGGTATCGCCTGTGGGATCCAACTGCCCACAAGGTTATAGTTAGTAGAGACGTTATATTTGTAGAAGAAAAGTTACAAAAGGAAGATGACAGCACCACAATGATATATGTGGAAAAGAAGTCTGAACAAAATGATTCTTTTGAATCAACACCAAACCACGATGAAGCAGAACCAATTAAGTCTGTGACTTAAGAACTGCAATGGTCAAATTGCACAAGGAGACCACCAAGTTGGCACTTAGATTATGTGATAGGGAGTAATGTTGCATACTGTCTTTTAATAGAGGATGGAGAGCCATCAACTCTTCAAGAAGTAATAAGTACTTCAGATGCATCTCAGTGGATGGCAGTAATGCAAGAAGAAATTGAAGTCCTATACAAGAATAAAACTTGGGAACTTGTGCACTACCAGAAGAAAAAAAGGCCATTGGTAATAAATGAGTCTATAAAATTAAAAGAAGTAGTGATGATGAACTGGATCGGTATTGTGCTAAATTGGTGGTGAAAGAGTATGCTCAAAAAGAAGGAATTGACTTCAATAGAATATTTTTCCCTGTGATTCGGCTTGCTATAGTACGAGTGATGCTGGCGATGTGTGCTGTACTCGACTTACATCTAGAGTAGCTAGATGTGAAAATAGCTTTTCTTCATGGAGATCTTGAAGAAGAGATTTATATGCTCCAACCAGAAGGTTTTGAAGAAGAAAAAAGAGAGAACTTGGTTTGTAGGTTAAACAAATCTCTATACGGTCTAAAATAGGCGCCAAGATGTTAGTATAAGAGATTTGATTCATTCATTATGAGCCTTGGATACAACAGACTTAATGTAGACCCTTGTGCATATTTCAAGAGGTTGATGAGAATGAGTTTGTTATCTTATTGCTGTATGTAGATGACATGTTGGTAGCAGGCCCTAACAAAGATTGTATCAAAGAATTGAAGGCTCAATTGGTTAGGAAATTCGAAATGAAGGATTTGGGACCAGCAAACAAGATTCTAGGGATGCAAATTCAAAGAGACAGAAATAATAAGAAGATTTAACTTTCTCAGAAAAATTATTTAAAAAAGATCTTACGGTGCTTTAACATATAGGACTGTAAGCCAGTTTCTACCCCACTTCTTGTTAATTTCAAATTATCCTACAATATGAAGAAGA